GTGCCAGCATTTCGTCGCAAGGTCTCGGATCCAGTGAGGAAGTGCCGGGTCCATCGTCGGCCGCACGCCGCTCTCGACGTTCTTCTTTAAAACAAACTCATTTGCAAACCCCATGTTGCTGTAGGGCTGGACGAGCATCGCAATCTCCGAGAGGATGATGCCAAACGAGTAAATGTCGGCTTTCGTGGCGTGGACCGTGCGGCCGGCAAGGATCTCGGGTGCCATCCACTGGTATGTCCCGACGCCAATGACTTCGTTGTAGCCTGCAGCATCGGCCGTGCGCACCGACTCACCCATGTCCAAGAGCCGGATCTCGTTCTCGGGCGTGAGCATGATGTTGGACGACTTGAGGTCCAAGTGCTCGATACCGCACTCGTGGATGTACGCAATCGCTTGGATGATCTTGAGCGCAATCTTGCAGCGCTCTTGCCACGGAAACGTCGCTTGTTGCTTGATCTGCCAGAGTTCCTTGGAGAGATCGTTGCCAGGTACGACCTCCATGAGGTAGGCTTTGAACGTGCCGGGCAGATCGCCGGGCACAGAACCAACGAACCGCGGCACGTACTTTGGATCCAGGCTACAAGACGGCAAAAGTATAATGAGCACGATAAAGAAGCGTTGTCTACCTCGCGAGAAACTCCATTTCCCGGTGAAACTTGAGTTCTAACCGGACTCGCTGATGCTGTGGGAGTAAACTACCATCTGCTTTGACGGGCTGGAAGTGCTTGCATGCGCAGGCAATGCCATTGTACGTGCACGCTGTCACGAGACCAACTGCTCCTTGGCCAAGCGGCACCTCGCTGCAAACGAGCGGGGCCGTGGCATCGATCGTGGGCACCGCGGGGGCTACAACATGCATTGAGTACAAACCATTTGGACACAAATCATGGTACGGGCGAGCATCGGGACAAAGCGAGACTGGTACTGACGCGCCGGCGCGACAGTCCCGTTGGCGATTTGCTCGCGCAAGCTCGCGACAACGTCGGTCATGGTCGGGCGTGTGGACGAATCAAACGACAAGCAGCGTTCGGCGAGGGCTTTGAGCTCAAGTGGGCATGCCTCGGGCACGTTGATCTTCGCCAAACCTTGGGGCACGCGTTCTCGGATCGCAAAGCTTGTCAGCGTCGAGCTCGCGTACAGCCGCTCCGTGTCGTAGAGCTGGGCAATGAGCGCGCCAAATGCAAAGACATCCGACTTTTTCGAGAATGCTGCCGACTCGAACACTTCGGGTGCAGTGTACGGCACCATGTCCGTTGGCACCGTCTCGGGCGCGCTCATGTCCGACTCGTGACGGGCTGCACCAAACTGTCCGAGTCGAAGCTGCCCATTGCGATCGACAAAGTAATTTTCGATCCGCACGTCGCAGTGGATCCAGTCGCGCTCGTGGACGTCGGTGAGCCCTTGTGCGGCACCGAGCAAGAGGTGGAGCAGATCGGCGTCTTTGAGGCTGTCTCGGAAATGGTCGTCGACCAAGAGCTTGGCCAAACTGCTGTCATGGCTCGTGTGCTCGAGCACCATGGTCGGTCGAGACGATGCAAAGTACGCAACGCCCACGAGGTTGATAACGTGCGGTGACTGGACACTAGACACATCGAACTGTCAGACGTTGCACATCATGCTGGCGTAGTACCGTGCAAGGAGGCACACTTCGGCGAAAATGCGCGCGAATGGATCGACCGTGGGAGCAACGTTGCCGGTTTTCGGTCGCTTCAAGAGGACCGGCTGCGACATATAAGTGCCTTCAAAGGTCCAGCTTGTTTCGTTGGCCAAGTTCGTGCACCCGACCTCCTTAAGCAGTGACGTGTCCAGCTCGACCAAGTCGACGGCGGCTACAAAAACGCAATTTGTCCAAAATGCTCGAAGAGCCAACACACCTGACGACGCGGCTTCCAACGCGCTGGGTCCGAGAAGACGGTCGAGACGGTGTAGAACGGCTTGGAATGTCGGACGCTCGGCCGGCACGTCGTGCAAGCAGTCGCCAATGAGGTCGACGAGACGGACCGGGCAGTCACCGCTTACGCCACCAACGTCGCGAAGCCGTTCCAAAGCGACAATCTTGTCGACGTCCTGGTGCGGCACTTGGTTGGACGCAATCTCGTACAAAAGCGAGCCAAACGTAAACACCGTCCCCGAGGTGGGGCCGACGCCGCCGTTGGCCAGCTCGGGTGGCAACCACCGAAAGGCGTTGTGGCCGCCGCTCTGCAGCGCACCAATATTGGTGAACTGGGGCGTCCGCAAGTCCGACTTGATGCAGACACTGTGCGACGTTATGTCCACATGCGTGATGCCACGCGCGGCAAAGTCCGCGAGGCCCGCGACAATCGACCGGGCACACTGGATTCGCTGCTGCCATTTGAGGGAGCCCGCGTACAACCAGTGCTCGGCGAGCACTCGATGCAGCGGAAGAAGACCGTCGTGGTCGACAACGAGGCACGGCACTGTCTCTTGGACTTGTTGAAAGAAAGCGTCGGCGATCTTGTCGCTGTTGACAAATGCGTGGCCGAGCACCCGAGGCGTATAGAGGTCCGACTGGGCCCTAAAAAGCACTGTTAGTGTCAGATGAGCAGTGTATAATCGAGGACGTACCAAAGTACGCGGGCAACGTGCTGCGTAAACTCGGCGTCGGCCGTGTAGTCCATGCGGTGGATAACGACGTCCTTCCCGTTGTACACACCCCGCCGAAGCAAGACGTTGCCATCCGTACCTTCGACTTTTGCTGTGCACGAGAGCAATCCCGAGTCCAGAGCCGCAATAGCGTACGTCGCCCAGAGCTCGGACAGCGTCGCAGGCGTCGGCGGCATGGATGCATTGCCACTCGTCGCGTCGATGTGCTCGTCGGCTTGTAGCGACGCGTCGTCCTCGCTCGGCGTGACGACTTTGGCGACCGACAGCCGCGCCCCGTGGTGGTCGTTGACATAAACGACGCCGTGCTGCGCGTTGTGGCGCTCAAGCTCGTGGACTACGTCGCTGATGCTCGTGTACTCGGAAGCGTTGGCCGCGAGATGAAAAAGCCACGCTGAAGGCGCTGATATGGCAAAGGAGCTGCCTCTTTGGAGCTCCGTCGCACGCGTCAACAGCTGCCGCAGCACGTCCAGCAGTGCCTGCACGTCGGCTGTCAAGAGCGCGTCCGTGGCGCTCGTCGTATGGCTGCTGAGACCACAGAGCTTGATGTCCAAATTCGATGTGACGAGGACGCGCTGGGAACACAGCTTTGTGTGCGCAATGCCACGGGCGTGGAGGTGAGCGATCGCCGATGCCAGTCGCCACGTTATGTACGCCACAGCTTCCGAGGCGAGGGACGACGGGTGGATGAGGCTCTGGAGGTGGTCGGCAAGGTTCTTGGCGAAAGCTAGGAACGGCAGCACGAGCGTCTTTGTCGTCTCGACGATCCCGATCGGCGTAATGAAGAAGGTGCTGTTCGACATGAGGAGTTGACCTTCTTCAGCGAAGCGGTCGTGTTGCTTGAGAAAGACGAGCTTGTCGTCATAGTAGGCTTCGTCGTCCTCCTCCTCGATGGCTGCCGCAGCAAGCATTTGCAGGGTTCTAGTCATTTGGAAGTGAAGAGGCGAAGGAGGGCGATCGATTCGTTTTGTGGAGTTCCTCAGCGGATTGGGTGGTTTGTGAGTGGGACTTTTGCGTCCCAAGGGCAAGTAATACTGCACGACCCATCCAAGCACGTTAGTCGAGTTTAAAAGACGATAGTCAGCGACTTTTCAGCTAGAGGCGCGAGGAGACCGTGTCATTACCTTTAATTTGATGGCTTTTGCAGCTCCAAACTCGCCAAAATGATGCAGCTACGCCTGGGTCCCGCTTCCACGGCTTGGCCCGGCTTCAGATATGTCTTGGTTTTTGTATGCTTCACAACGGGACACTGACGATGATGATGGGGCGGCTGATTTGGCACCAGCTGTTGCAAGAAGTGATAGGACACCCC